TTTACTCATGTATGTTTTGCATATTTTCTTTCTATCTGTTTGCCAATTTTTGTGAGACAACATTTTTTCTTTGAAAGATGCATATTTTGAGTCGCGCTACCAAATTGAAGGGAAGACAGACTCGCCTCCAAACAAAATTGATCTATTTGTATACAATGCACCTGTGGGTCAGTGGATCTGGCAGAAACAGCAGAGTGGACCTTTTTGCTTGCAAATTGTAAGCACTTGGGCTCGCCTATCTATCTTCACATGTTCCTATCCCCATCTACCCAAATCTTCCACATGCTGTTGTCAAGTGCGAAAATGTAGTAAAGTATTCACCGACCATGCTTTTGACAAGACCACGTACAATTAATGATGAGTAGTTAAAGCTGAGGCCATACATGTAAAAATGAATAGCTTTTTGGGCAAAAAATTGCGACAGAAGGGGATAGTTTTCGAATGCAATCGGCACAGTTGGGTAGATTTAACGAAACTCGCTTGCAGGCTTGTCAATTGCCCTCGAATGTGAGTATTGAAGTATTGTATTGTGGTCTATTCTTGGTTGATTTTGGCTTGACATTGACATTGACGTCCCTCCAAATGACTGTTGACCTTGAGTTGGGCTGGTGAATAATTTGGGCAATGCAATCACTATCATCGTTGACGAACTTCCCAAACGCAACGGGGTAGGTTGATAATCTGTTTTTAAATGGGCTTATTGTTCCTGATGTGGTATTCTGAATACCATTTAGTGATGCTTAAGGCCATGAAGCCCTCCTTTTATCCTTTTTGCTGTGTAAATTGTCAGGTGTTGCTGGATTGCACAAATGCACCACGAAGCTCTCGTAGAAGTAGATAGGGAAGAGCCTGAAACACATGGTAACGCGATTTTAAATGCATGCAATTTAGAGTATCAAATGTTCATCCTTTGCAAGACTAAATTTTTAACTGCCAATTTTCTGCGAGGAGGGCAATCCATTTGCAAGTCTGTCGGATTTGACCTACCGTAGTTAAGATTGCACACTGAGCCGTCTATGTTAGGTAGCAATTGATTGCCCATGTCGGGCAAAACAAGCTAAATCTGGCGTATTTTACATTATTATTACATCGTTATTAATATTTTTGCAAGAGAAAAGCTTTATTTATAAACGGGTCTTATTTTAGCTGTAAGATATTCAGCACCGGTTAATCCTTTACCCACTATATTTAAGTAGCAATTATTTTGGCCCCTCACTGTCGACCTGCTTAGGGCTATCTTAGAAGCGAAATCAATGGGCACGGTCTT